TAGAGTTAAAATGTGTTCACATTTTTATTTATATTGGATTAATATTAGTACATGAAACGTCTCTACGTCCCAAGTAATCACACATGGTAGGTGTGATTGAATCACACATGGCAGGTGTGATTGCTAGGGTATCTCCTGAAATGCAAAATGTTCCATTGAAACAAAAAGGCCAGCTGTCTCTACATGAAGGCAGGCAGTGAAGTTCGTTGAACTTGAGAAAAAACCACTGAAGTGCCGCGTGGAACGTTGCAACGCTAATAGCCGCGTAAAATCCGACCCAGTCCCGCATAACTACAGAATGCTCATGATAAAATAACAAAATAAATATAAAGGATTCCGTTCACGTAATAGCTGGAAGATGCGGTATGCTAATTGACTTGTTACCAAGCGAGGGGGCACCCGGTTCACGAGTGTTCGGGGTGACTCTATGACTGTCTTGATCGTTCATAGTATGGCGCATAGATAATACATATATACTGAAATGGTAAGGCGAAAATCATCACTTAACGTCTGGTTAACCGCGCTTGCTACTTTCTCACGTTAAAAAAGACGAAAACAAAAACTGGTTTAAAATTGCAACGCTGCTTACCAGCCGTTTTCTTCTCTTCTATCTTCAGGTTCTTAATTTTTGGGACTACCACAAACTAGCCTGAATTTCACATCGTTGCGGACACACAAGGCCTCATCTGTTTTGAACTAAGAACATTTTATTACAAGAAAATTAAATAAGAAAATGTACAGATTAAATCTTGTACATTAAATTGCAAAAGTGTCATTAAGGTATTATCCCTGCACAATTCCAGTGTTATCACACGATTTTTTTATATGTTTTGCGTGGATGTAGAACAAAACAAAATATATATATGACAAATGAGTGAGACCATAATATCAAAGTCCATCTTTAGAAAAGATATTTTTAAACAAACAATTTAATATAAAACACTAGTTTTTTGTAATTATGTATGCTTTCGTTTATAATGTTGCTATACTTTAATAAACATGTGTTCGCTGGTAAAATTGTTTGTTTGACCTTTTCGCATAGGACAGATCCCAAATTTATGCATAATCCAATTACTTAGTCTAATTTCATGGGAATCGAGTAGAAGTGAATTGAGATTTCCGTACTGTATGCAGATCTCAGTCTAAATCTAGTTCTTAGTTGTACAGTCGAGGTATTATTGTTAAGTACATATCTTCGTTGCGTTGGGCAACATCGGATATCTGGCTGCGTATTGTCTCTCACAACCGAGGTCGATGGTAGGGTTGACAATTGCTTGTCGTCTTTTTATTTTTACTAACACGAATATTATTAACTTTGCATGTACGCAACGAAGAATATGTAAAAACGAATGTATACCGGCATGTATTTTTATATACGCCGAGTGGTCAAAGTTCGACGATAATTAATTTAAATTAGAAGTTTGAACAATATTAATCTATTCTTAAATACAATACACAATAAACTAAAGAGTATATATGCGTGTTCGCGTCTAATACATTGTAGTGTGTAATGCTTTCTATATTGATTTTATGTATTTTTTTTTTGCATAATTTCAAAAAGTATTAGCATTCTGCACTCCTCTATACAGGATGGCTTTTCTAAAGGTGCCCAAATTCACACAGGAGGTAGAAACTCAGTAGTATAGTCGTTTATTAAAATTTGTTAAATTGAAACTTTTTTTTTCAAAAATTTGCAATTCTGTTCACTAAAAAACAGAACTTGTTGACAATGCGATAGTCATTCATAAATGCGTCGTATACTTTTGAAACGAACTTGTGTGCGTGTTAGTTATGAACGATCGCGCGTAAAATAAATGAATTGCCCATAAATCACGCACTTTTTGAGATAAGCTTAAATGAATGTAATTAATTAATTACGAGTGATTTTAAATATTTATCATTTGTTATATACCATTATTTATGTCTAGAATTTAATAAAAAATGGATACACTTAGAAAAGCCTGGGAAATTCTCCGTCCCGTTAATTTTCATTTTCTGTTGTAACTAATTCTAACTAATTACCATTCTAACTAACTCTTTCACGGAATTTGTCCAGATTTGAGATTTTAAATCCCAGGTATTGTGATCAGATCCTTAATTATCTCAGTCCGTCCCTTTATCATGAGTACTCTAAAATATACGAAAGGTCAGGAGCTAAAATTTGATTATATTATCATTGTTAAAGTAGTTAATAATAATATATTTCAAAATACGTATGGATAGAGCAATAGTGAACCTTTGAAATACAAAACTAATTCTAAAACAAAAAAGTATAAATCACTATACTTTTTTGCCCCGCTGTTTGTCTGTCCCTATGTATGCTTAAATCTTTAAAACAACGCAACGCATCTTGATGCGGTTTTTTACTAGATAGAGTGATTCAAGAGGTTCATTGCCATGTTCCTGTGCGAAGCCGGGGCGGGTCGCTAGTTACATTATAAAATTTAGTTTTAGTGACAACCCTACCGTTGTTCAGTCCTCATTCTTTTTTTCCACGCAATTGAATGCACCGGAACGGAGATCCAACGCAGCGTTAACCTATCATACTTTTAAAATTCACGCAAAAAAGAAAACATTATTGGGTAAATGGCATTGTTAATGATATAAAAACCAGAAAAATCAAAGTTAAGGTTACACGTCCAAATTATTTAAATTTTTTTAACTTTCATTAAATGTAATAGATGATAGACTTTTGTTACTTTTTGTATCTATCGACAACCTACTCATTAAGTTCAACAAAATCTTAAAAATAAATGGCCCAAAATTATCACAATTTCATATAAAACTGAAAGGAGACCGATTAATTTGAATTTACGTATGCTGTTTTATACATTTATCAGTAATACAAGCATATATATATATATATATATATATATATATATATATATATATATATATATATATATATATTATGATACAAAACTGAATACTTCAAGCCATTGGGAGATTATCGATTTTGTAACAATGAGAACGTAAATGATCCCTGGCATAAAGTAACATTATCCTTGATTGAAAACCTATGGTTTCTGTCTGTATGAACCCTTTCTCGAACATGATATTTTGTTGTACGATCATGATAGTCGTGTTTCTACTTTCGGTGATTGATTATGGTATTGTTTCTAATAATGATTTTTTTTTAAATAAAAACAATTTCTACCATATACCTCCTTGAGCCAGTTAGCAAGGCAGTCAGTTCTTTTCTATATCAAAACTTGTAAAGTTTTTGACAGTATGTCTCGAGTGGTTGTTTGTTACGTAATTTGATTTTCAATAATAACTAATTCTTTCACTAATTTTCGGTTTAAAATATTTGATCAATGCTTTGTTAATGAACAGGATGGACTGAAGGAATTTAAAAGCGTAATTAGAAACATCGAAGCACAGTTAAATGCAAAATAGTGTGTTGTTAAGTCACAATTTTTTAGAAATCGTATAAATATAGTAATTCATCTTCGGTTTTGGTACATTTTTATAGCGTTATGGTTAATAACGAAACTGTACCAAAGTTCATTGGCCAGTCTTATCTCACTGCTCTTGACATGACAGGCGTGTCATGTGGGTAATACTTAGTTACGCCAATGGGTTAATTATCGGAATAGCTAATCGCCCACGAACTTTATAGGCGTCAGTAGAGAACTACTGTTAGTTAACGGTTTATACTTTTGGGGGAAATAGAGTGCCTTATAGCCGTGATAGCTCTGTGTCCCGGCGCTCGCCTTTAATTCAATATACTTCAGCAACCTGAGTTCGATCCCCGGTGCCGGCACCAATGAAATGTTAATTTTAAGGGCCGAATTATCACGCGCTCAGCGGTGAAAGAAAATAACGTGAAGAAACCTACATATTTTCGAAATAATAACAAAAAAAATATTTAGAAGATATGTGAAGTCCGCCAATCCGCAGTGGGGCCGTGTGGTGTACTATGCCCTGATACCCTCTGTACAGATGTATAGGCTGATACTTTACTTTTTTTAGAGTGCCTTGGTAAACACCTACGTCATATTAGTCTACGTTGAAAAAATAGAATGTATATAGGACTGCTAAGCCAAATGAGTTCATGATGAACAAATGATTTCGACGTTGAGACAACCAATCATGTTCATGGCTGCAGGGTTTTCCATTTAACCGCCTTTAACATTTTGAGATTCATTTTGAATTTAACCGATTTCATAATTTTGAGAAAAATTTAAATAATAACTTTTTAAAATTCCTTATATAAGCTCCGAGAAAATCTGACATGTCTCAACCTCAGTTTAGTAATCGTGATTTAAAGACGTAGATGTTTTCATAAATATATTCATTGAAGACGTGAGATTTTATCTAGAAGGCGTATTTATATCTTGGAAAGGTTAATTTACTCTATTTAGTTTTATAATTTTGATTCATAGTCGATGCCATATCGAAACCTTTACATACTTAAACCCTCTGGAGACCTCAGCCGTCCTCACGCGATTACAAAATAAGTAAAGAAGAAGAGATCTTCCCTTTTAACATATTTTATGCTCTCACCGAGTTAAGTATTTTTAAAGTTATACAAAACGCCTTTTCTATTAAGCTTATTGTAATTATCAAATCCAATAACATCATAAAAATCTTTTTTTTGCTCTGTCGAGTTTTTTTCTTCTGAAATTACGCAAACGATCACTCTGTTCGAGATGAACAATTAAAATATAAACTCCGCCGGCCAAAAAAAGTACAAATCGATGGCTCGATTTTTCTAAAAAAAAAAGTCAGAGATAACAATTACAACGATTGCGATGATTTAAGACTGTGACAAATCGATGAATAGGCTCCGTTTAAAACACCCATATGCGCGTCGACTTGAAGAACGTTCCACGTGAAAACACCCATATAAACGCGTCCCGTACGCAATGTGAAGTAGTACAAGAATTACGTCCGCGGCGATCGTTGCCTCACGAGCGCATTGCTCACGAGAAGGTCAACATTCGGATCGATTGAAATTAAATAGCCCCGCCGTGTTGTGAATCGGATACCGCACAATGTGGATGCTCATGGTCCTCGTCAGCCTCGCCTCCGCCGCGCCGATGGGTGAGGTGGACTTCGCGCCGCTCAACACCTTCTCACTGAAACTTCTGTACAACACGTACGCGTTCCAAGAGAGCTACGGCGAGAAGAATCTGATCATATCGCCACTGTCCATATGGAGCATGTTCGCGTTGCTCGCCGAAGGGTGCTCGGGAGAGACGTTCAACGAACTGATGCAGGAGCTGCGGCTGCCGAGTGACTCGCGCAGCACTACTGTACTCCATTTGGCCGTCTCCGACATTCTCTTGAAGAGGGACCATGACGTGAAACTGGAAGGATTGTCCGGGCTCTTCGCGGACACCAATTTGAACATCCACGAGGAGTTCTGTCAATACGCAAGGGGCTTCGACACGCAAGTGTTCCTCGTAGAGGCCAGCAACAAAACTGCCCTCGCTAACGATATAAATTCCTACATCTGTCGGCTGACACGAGGCCGAATAGTGGAGGCCGTGACCCCCCGGGTCTTGGAGAATCTGCGCATGATATTGGTGGACGGGTTGTACTTTAAAGCGAACTGGACTCATCCTTTTGATGCTACACACACGCGCGAGGAGGAGTTCTACAACTTCCAAGGGAAGACCATTGGTTCGGTCAACATGATGTATCACAAAGCCAGCCATGTCTTCGGCGATTCGCCGCAGATAGGCGCTCAGATACTTGAAATGCCCTACGGGAAGAACGAGCAGCTCTCCATGATGATACTTCTTCCATTCGATGGCATCCCGCTGCAGAAACTACTAGAGAACCTTTCAACGCAATCATTGGACTGGATAGGTCAGTTTCAGGCCGCCGAGAAGCAGGAAATTGACTGCTACATACCCCGGTTCAAAATCACATCCAAATCAGACATGATACCGCCACTTATGTACATGGGCATACGGAACATTTTCGATTACACCAAGGCCCAGATGCCCGGCATCTCCGACACACCGCTGTTCGTTTCGAAAACTGTCCAAAACGTAGGTATTGAGGTCGCAGAGGAGGGTACTGTGGCCGCATCGTCAACAATCGTCCAACTGGAAGACAGGATGCTCTCGCAGCGTTTCGAGGCAAACAAAGAATTCGTGTTCCTAATTACCGAGAGAAGATCCGGTGCTATTGTTTTCGCCGGCGTTTACGCGGAGCCTTCGTTGACGTGATATAATAATAAAATATTCTAGATCTGTTACGCTTTTCCTTATAAATATAACTTAACAACTTTTCCTACCATCAACTATAACAGAGTGATAAAAATAGAATGTTTCATACATACAGCTATTGATTATAACTAAATCACACACACTATTCCTCATTTTTCCCGATATTGGTAATACATCAGGCATTGTTACTGCGAAAGACATAACCACTATAGTCTTGGCAATTTATTTATTCAGAGATACCTGGTGTACCCACCTCATCCATGACAACTCACCATCACAGAACAATTGAGATAGATACATCAAATTCCTTTGTCAAGGCTACGATAATGGATTGTTACCGGTTTCATACGATGACATTAGCAGTTGTATATTTATTACATTTCCTAACATTATGCACCTCACAGCATCAGGAATTAAGTATTTTATTAGTTCAAGACAAGACTATGGATACATTTAAACTTACAACAGGAGTTATTTTTTGAAATTTTGGCTATTAAAATGTTCACATCTGTACGTCTTTCAAATATAAAATCGTTCACACCCTTAAAGGTATCGTATCGAGTACACGACGTCCTTATAACTGATAACGATCAATTAAAGTGACAAAAGAAACGAAAGTTTTTTTGAATTTCATTATTTCTAATGTTTAATTTAAGTGGCGGATACATAATAATTTACAAATCGTAATACTTTCAAAAAGAGTTAAATGCATATAATAGATGTAAAATCGAGAAGCAGGCCTATAACGTACTTCATAATGGAAAAGGTCGAAGGAGTCAACGAACCAGCAAAGGGCATCACATCCAGGAATATGATTGCGTGTAAAAATATTTTTTTTAAATGCAGCACATTAATTTTGCTATTGCACGTTCTACCTGCGAGGCGCCCGAGTCAAGACGGTAAGGACATATTTTGTTAAATGCTAATCTTGAGTTGAATTTTATCTCATATAAGTCCAATTTTCATAAGGTTGTCAACGCATCTGCAACCCTCGGGTGTAGCAGATGTCCATGAGCGGCGGTATTCACTTAACATCAGGTGAACCGTCTGCTCAATTGCCAACTTTTCACATAAAAAATTTATCGTGTGACTATTTTAAACTAAATGATGATCTAAATGACCCAATTGGTGAAGTGTGTGATAATGTTAGCCTGTCTCTACCGCCCAAGGGGTGCGTTCCCTACTACGGGAAAAATATTGTGAAATTAATGTGTTTATAGTGTCTGTATGCGTCTATAACTTATATTTGTCTTGTTATAAAAGTACGTCTGGGTTTGTTTATCGGTTACCCTTAATATATCTGAACCACGGCTGAAACCTGGTGAGTGACTCTATCAAATATAGACTAGAGAATGTTGTGTATAAATATGTTCAAAAGTATTTATTTATTTTATTAATGGCTGTAACGTTGAACGGATTGAAATCCAAAATAATCCAAAATAAAATAATTGTTTTACTGTTTTAAGAATTACCACGTAGAGAGACGTGTGGGTTTATACACTCATGGATAAGGTATCCAGCATAGCGTTTAGGGTTTAAATACATAAGCTTGATAACCTAAATACGAATTTTGTCATGTCAATCAATTTGACCAAGTTCTTATACCTTCCAAGGAAAGTAAGTCTTATAATATAATGTTTTAACAATATGCATTATTTCTGTAAATACCTAAAATTATCTAATGAATTGACACTGGCAATCGAAACGGTTCAGTATGTGGTGGTTTTTCTTTATTTTATTCCACAAGTTAGAGAGATAAGCGTGTGCAGATATTTACATCATCCAAGTTTACTGAACAGTTGTATAGCTAACATACGATAAAGGCCCTGATGTATCGCCAACAAAGGCGATTATTGTTAGCAAAAACTGTTGTTAGTTTACAACGTCCGCGCACACCGTTGTGTTTCTCACGTGCGACTGAATGCATGACATCACTGCGTCGGAAGAAACAAGCACCGTGACCGCGACAATGAATTCGGCCAGATGTTTGGCAACTTCTTTTTTGTCTATTGTTTCGGACATAAGCCCACCGCGTTCCGTTCCTCCGTCGTTTTAAGCCACTCCAACGAAATGGAGATTCGCGTTAAATGCAAGTTTTAGATTACGTTACGTTACAGGTACGTCTTTTGACTTTGAAATTGAAAATTCATATACACTAAATATACACTCGAATTCTGTAAGCAAAACCAAGCTTAGCACAAAATATCGTTCGGTATTTTCTATTAACAGTATTTTAAACACCAAAGTTATTCCTCATTTTTACTTACTTCAATATACTTATTCAATATTTTATCTTTATAAGAAAACGTTTATACTACATAGTTATGTATTTAACACGAAGTATACCCACCCGGAAGTATACGGAGAACCCGAACGGAATGTGTTAGACTCACACACCAAAAAACCATCATGGGGGGGAGGATCCTTTTTTTTCTTTTAAAACGAAACGATAACATTTGGTATATGAATGTTCAATGATTAATAGAAACACAGATTCTTCTTTTCTTTATTTGCGTGTTGGAAATGCAAGCATACCAGTACGGAGGGCGAGAACGGGACGTCTCAGACTCGCACGGATCCAAAAACATGAACGAGTAACTGACTCCCCCCACCCAGCTACCTAGGCCATGGGAGCCAGGAGAGCCAGTGCTAATAAGCAGCAGGCCCCCCAACCCCCAGCGGCGGACCAGGTCAGTGGTTCCGCCACTCGCCACGTTTCAGCTGCGGTGTGTTTCATAGGAACAATGGGCACCTTGGCTGGAGGAGAGAAAAGGAGAGAAGTTGGTCAATTTTACATCTGTCAAGTGTAATATCTTTCTACAAAAGGCAGTAAAGGACAAGTTTGATTGTGAATATTATTATTTAATAGATGATGATGCGATTAATATCATTACGTAGTATAAAACAAAGTCGTCCCGCTGACTATCTGTGATTCAAGTGGATTATATGTGTAATAAATTGCACCCGTGCGAAGCCAGGACGGGTTGGTAATTTTATATTAAAGCTGTATATACAGGGAGACTTTTCTGAGTGTATTCTATATATTTTTTTTATTAAATTCTAGACATAAATAATGTTATATAAAAATGATAAATATTTTAAATCACTCGTAATTAATTAATTACATTCATTTGAACTTATCTCAAAAAGTGCGTGATTTATGGGCAGTTCATTTATTTTACGCGCGATCATTCATAACTAACACGCACACTAGTTCGTTTCAAAAGTATACAACGCATTTATGAATGACTAATGCATTGTCAACAAGTTCTGTTTTTTAGGGAATAGAATTACAATTTTTTGAAAAAAAAAAAAGTTTTTTTTTTTTTTTTTTTTCAATAAACGATTATACTACCGAGTCTGAACCTCCTATTTGCGTCGATAAAACTGTGCTTCCATTTATTCTACAAATAATGTTTCACCTTTAGTAGCACACACAAAAATTAAATGATACAATTAATAATATTTTTTTGCTTTCCGTGTAATTAGTTCATATTTGGAAGAACAATAAATTTTCATAGAATTTATGTATTGGCGTTTGCACAGATGTTGCTTGAATTATGACCGAAAAAGATTGTAGCACATGTTAAAGATCGGAATGCATAAAACAATGGGTAACAATGAGGATATATTAATATCCTATTAATTAAACGCATTGTTTTTTGCATCGATAAGCACGTGTTACTAATTTTTTTGGGAAAAGGTAAGTGATGATAACTGATGTTAAGTGATAATTGTCGCCCATTTTTGTATTTTTTTCTTTAAAGACATTGCCCTCACTTTAGGATAACATTATCCTGTGTTGCACGGACGTTTTTACATACATAAATTCCACGTGGACAAACACCCAGATGCGAAACAATTATCTGTGAGTCACACAAATAGTTGTCCCGTGTGGGAATCGAACCCACGACCCCCGACGCCGAAGCCAATACCTTGACGACTGCGCCACGGAGTCACCAACGCCTGTAGGCTTTTAGATGCGTTTCCACATTTTAATAACGTGGGCGCCGGTTACATCACTTATCAGATGAAACTCAAAAGCATAACTCTTCCACTTCACGCCGATCTTCTGTGAGGTCATGGTACTCACCCTGTTGGACGCGCCAGTCCGTGCAACAGCAAAGCTGTTTACTTTCACATTATCCTGATTCACGACAGATCAAGTTCCGAGTAATGTGTGACGTCAGATGTAATTTCCAAAGCTTCTAATCAGGGCCGGATTTAGGGGAGGGCAAACGGAGCTACAGTCCCGGGGCTTCCTCAAAAGAAGGCCCCCACAATAGAGACTTCGGAAAAAAAATTCAAACTCAGATTAGTCAAGAAATTCCGTTCGTTAAAGCTAAAATTTAGATAATTCTTGTTTCCGATTATATTTATATGTTCGTTAAATGATAGAAGAATCTATACTTGGTTACACAATAAATTATTTATTGGAAAACTCGACTGAAAAAAAAATTTAATTTTGTTTGGAAAATAATTTGCGGCCAAGGGGCCTCCACTCCTTTGTTGCTCCGAGGCCTCCAGACCTCTAAATTCGGCCCTGCTTCTTATACCGCACTGCGCACTGTACGTTCGATGGATGACGTCATCATTCAAAAGTTTGTCACTTCCCGCGTGTTTATTAAATCGCGCAGATAAGGAGGTCGACTTTATCCAGTGACCTCTTGGAGATACCAAAATCGTTGGCACTTGTTCCGTTTCGTTATAGGGTCGTTTGTTGGAGTGATCCCAATCCCAAAACAAATACTTTTTAGGGTTCCATACCCAAATGGCGACGGGACCGTGGTTTGGCGCCAAACCTCCAATTCCACCGCTACACGTAGAAACTATGAAAACCAACTCGGCTTTGTCTCCATTGTAATGCCAGCAACCATCCAGGTAACCTCCAAATGCCACACTTTCATGTATGAGGTACTGCTCTCGTTTTCCGTAGTCTCGTTGTCTTTTTCACCGTCATGGAGCTAGATATACTCTTCTTTCATCTGGGAATAGTTCGTCGGTCCACCTCACGTCGTGTTCTTTTGCAAAAGGCTAAAAAAACCTTTTTGGAGACAGGAGGGCGGTGGAGACTTTTAGCGGTGGCAGGGCCACGCAGCAGCCTCGGCTGTTGCACGAATGGGCAGGCTCGTCCGGGTAAGTACCACGACCTCACAGAAGACCGGCGTAAAGTGGAAGTATGACAAATACTTTCGCGTTTCGTCTGGTGAGTGAGGTAGCCGGAGCTCAATTTTCAAAAGGTTGCCAACGCCTCTGTAATCCTCGGGTGTACCGTCTGCTCGTTTGGCTTCTTTTCACATTAAAAAAATAAAAAAAAAGACAGGTTAGCCACATTCAGTTTTTTCCGACTGTCCAGCCACTAACAGCCAATCTTCGTATCTTCCTGATCTCATGTTGGACTTGAGCTGGTCTTCCTCTCCGTTAGTGGGCCCGTTTTAAAGCGCAGTGCTGACGATGAATCGATCTTCGAGTTTTTCATTCTTCTATACGCATCTTCTTCGGCCGGATCCGCGTCTTCAATTTAGGCTACTGGTCTCCTTGTAGCGCCGGTATACTCTGGACACGGCAGACTAGCTCATATTCAACACACGAACCATTTCTGCAATTTTTTTTGTGACTCGACTTAAAACTGGACAAGTTAATTAATAAGGGTATCGATATTGAAAACAAAGATCTCATCTCACATTTTAAAATATAAAGAAAAATCCAAATAAATCTCCGTCTGCGGATGCAACCGGTTTGAAATAATAATTATCTTTAAATTTGAATATTAAAATTTAAAATCCAATCATTCACATGGTCAGTTTCCTTTAACTCATACGGAAGGAACGCGCGGGTGAATACGCTGATAAAATGTATTCAACAATTCAGCACATGTGTTATAAAAAAACCCAAATAAAAACCGGTTTCATAATTGCATATACAAAATGCACCATTAATTTATATGTGAAATATAAAAATTCACATTAGATATAGTAACCAATTTTAAGTGACAAACCACTGTTACGTAATCCTGAATGTCTTAGGGCAATGCAAATAAGTGAAAAACTATTAAATTAAGAGGTAAAACTTATCACTGACGCCCGTTTTTTGAAACACATACGCCCGGTTTCTGAAACACTGATCATCGTAGATGTCAACTAATCAGCTGTCAATTGGCTTTTCAAATGCCATTGAGTTGCAAAAATTATAATTAAACTCTCCGAATCGATCAGAATGATCTTCTTAATGATCAGAATGATCAATTCAAAGAGTTCAACAATTCTTTTGGCAACTCAAATAACATCTGAAAACCCATTTTTACCAGGATAACCGGGCGTTATCACCGTAGAAGTTCACTAATCAGCTGTCAAATGATTTTTCAAATGTCATTTTAATTGCCAAAAGGATAGTTAATCTCTCTCTTGGAATTGATCATTCAGAGAGTTTAACCATCATTTTGGCCTCTCAAATGAAATCTTAAAAGCCATTTCACAGCTGATTAGTTAACTTCTAGCATGATCACTATTTCTTTATGTATATATTGTTTGAAAAAAGACATTGGCTTCGACGCGAGCGAAACCGCGGGCGAAAAGCTAGTTAAATATAATTATAATAATAAGTGATTATCCTGAGACCTGATTAAGTAGACCAAGTAAGATTAATGCCCAGTTTCCGAAAGGCCAATCAAAGCAGCAATCACATAACACTATGTCAAAAATGACCAGCTGTTAATCTCTTGTTAAACTGCCTTGGGTTTCTGGAAGGAATGTTCAAGAAAAATTATCTAATCACTGTATAACCAGTGATAATGAATGAAATGAATGATTTACTTCAACTAACTCTTTCTATTGTATAGCTGTCCCTTTTTAAACAAAACTTTAATTAACGTCACTATCCAGTCCTGTCACCGTGTGATTGCCAACGTAAAAATCCGAGCTATAATAAAATTTAATTTATATAAATACATGCAAAATGTCAAAAAAAAACTTTACAGAACGTGAAAAAAAATGAACTTTTATCCATAATAAACAAGTAAGTATTATAAAAAGAAAGAAACTATATTATTTATTAACTTTTGAATTGCATTTTGTATTTTTTCTAATCACATGATATGTTCGCATACTAATAAATAATAAATAGGTAATAGAACACATTAATGTCCTAACAATTAGGGAATTATGTTTATTTTTAATAAAAACTAAGTATTTGATAAATAACATTTTAACCAACGATCCTCCAAATTGACAGATTACTTAATAAAACTTTTGACAGCTCGTTGACCACCGAAAAACGCTTTCAGAAACTCGATTTTCTGTTGATTGTCCGTTAATCAGTGACTAATTGAAAATCAAAATCAATGTTGTTTAAGACGTTCTAGCAACTCAGATCATGTTAAACAACGATTGACAAGAGATTTATCGTAAATTAAAATTGATTGCGCTTTCGGAAACTGGGTGTAATTATTAGTAGATGCAATTTCCTTTTGTGTTATCAATCATAACATTCCATATTCTAAGAATATAGTTTTCGTTTTCACTTTACCAAAATAACATCGGCCCAGAAGAAGAAGAAGGAAAATGTTGAACTACGCGTAATGTTGAACTAAGTTGAGCAAAGTTTCAAAAGGTTGTCAATACATCTGGAACCCTAGGGTGTAACAGATGTCCATGGGCGGCGGTATTCACTTAACATCAGGTGAACCGTCTGCTCGTTTGGCAACTTCTCACATAAAAAAAAATATTTTCATGTTAATTCCATATCATTGACAGCGTTTATACCTACATCTCATATGGTGAAAACTCAAGTTCAATTCAGTCTGACTTCATAAAATCATATCCTAACTACTTCCACTGCTAACTGCATATTACTTCTCACTTTTTTAAATGGGATAGCATGAGAGGCCAGTGCCTTCATGTTTCCATGCACAAATTCTAGACAGGACTTTGAAAAAATGCTTTGTACCAATCCAAAGGTTGGAGCTGGGAGTTCCCATACAAATATTATTCAGATCAAATACGACTAAATAAATATAGCAAAGTACGGAGCAAACCCCGATGACGTGGTTTCGATACCCACAGCGGCGAAACGCACTTTTTTCTACAAATTTTAATGTATCATCATAAGTGCAAACGTCAGCACTGAAAAAAAATTAAAATTAAATAAAAACAGCCTTAACCGTTAATTTATAATACATAAATAAAATTACTGCTACTAACAAAGACTACCATTATACCACATACTTTATTTTCCTCATCCATATCCATACTTCCATGTATATTTATTTAAGCCTAAATTAAATTTCTTCTTTTTGGAAGATTTTAAATATAAAGGGAGATTTTTTGAGAAGTGGCCGAATTTACACAGGAGTTTCAGACTCGGTATAATCGTTTATTGAAACAAAAAACAAAGTTTTTTTTTTTTCGAAAAAAATGCCATTCTGCTCCCTTAAAAAACAGAACGTGTTGACAACGCGGTATTCATTCATAAATACCTAAATTTTACTGTGCACGAACTCGTGTGCGTGTTAATTATGAATGGTCGCGCGTAAAATAAATGAGTTGCATATAAATCACGCACTTTTTGAGATAAGTTCAAATGAATGTAATTAATTACTTACGAGTGATTTTAAATATTTATCATTTTTGTATAACATTATTTACGTCTAGAATTTAATTTAAAAAAATGGATACACTTAGAAAAGCCACCCTGTATAAATATAAACTTGTTCATTTATTTAAAATTTTCTAAATATTAATATGCAACCTTGGAAAAATTCATAATAACCACTCTGTGAGTTATCGGTTTCAACTTGGATGCATATCGTCAGGTCCCAGGTCTTAGTGATTTACATAGCTTGGTAGCTTAACTTATGTTCATAAATAGATCAATCCCTAGATCCCAATGTCGCCAGCGGAAGCATCGGTGTGCGAATATTTTCAATTATGTTCTCGGACGGTTATGTCCAGTGCTCTTATTTACGAATAGCACCCTTGTCACTATTTTATTTGTTAATTTGAACTTAATTAAGATTAAGAATATAATGAATTAATAATGTAGATCGTCGTGTAAGACATTAAATTAATATCGTAGTGTAATTTATACATACCTTCATAAATATATAAATAATAGTGCCGTGTAGTGTCATTTGTCATACCACTTTATGCCTATGTATCTTATACACATTCCTACAAATATTCCTACACATATAAACTTCTTAAAGAAAAATTATAAGATATATAATTACGCCAAGACGACATTGAATTTAAACGAGCTACTAGTACTAGTTTGAAGCAATGTTTATACACTTTCATTTTAAAATAAGTTTAAAAACTTATACTATATCTACTAATATATAGTACCTATGTTTTTAAATAACCTGTGTTTCTCGTTGTGATGCTTATGCAAACAGTTTTTACCTATAACTGGTTGTGCATTCTTGTGCTCATTAATTTTTCTATATTTTTTTATAAAAATCGTTTAAATGTAACAAGTATCGGGATATACGTAAGATTAAAATTTACGCATGACACACACATGCAGAAAACGCTCATATAATCGTGCCAATATAAAGGGCAAGACCCGTCAACGGTCAGACCACGATTAGAGTGGACGTGCCAGTAGCGTTGCGGACTCGGCGCAACGTAGTGGCCGCCATGTTGTTGCTCTCTGTTTTCCTGGCGATCTTGGCGGTATGCCAATGCAAGGTGGAGTTCAGCGATAGAGCGAGGAACTTCAGTGTGGAGCTGCTGTACTACACCGCTGAGGAGACGCATTGGCACACCGTGATATCGCCGCTCGGCGTGTGGAGCCTGCTGACCGGCATATCAACGGGCGCGACTGGAAACAGCAAGGCGCAGCTGAGGCGTAGCCTTCTCCTGCCGAAGAGAACCACAACTGTGGTGGAGGGGCACAAAAAGCTCATGAGCGACGTGGTATTACCAAAGACGAAGGACGTCACACTGAAGAGCGTGAACTATCTGTTTGTCGATACGGGTTTCGTGATAAACCCAGTCTTCCACAACAGCATCGTTTACGATTTCGGTGCGAAGGTGACAAGGCTCCGTTTCTCATCGCCCGACGACGCCGCGGCTAAAGCGAACGGCGTGATCCAGAAGTCGGGCGCTACCGTGTCGAACGTGCTTCGCTCCGACGACTTCCAGAATTCGAGGGTAATATTGACCAACGTGATAACGTTCAAGGGCCTTTGGCGGCTGCCGTTCAACGAGTCCGAAACTAAAGTGCTGCCCTTCCACGACGAGAAGATGAACGAAATCGGCAAAGTGAATATGATGCAGCAACAGGAGAATTTCCAGTTCTCCAACATCGCTTCAATCTCCGCCACCGTTCTGGAGTTGCCTTACGGCGAAGACGACCACTACTCCTTCCTGGTCATCCTCCCGTACCTCGACGTGACGCTGGCCGAGGTGTACACAGCGCTGGAGAGGGTCAGCGTAAAAGAGATCCTGGAGAAGCTGCGGCGGGACACGGAGGAGTACGGAGAGGCGAGCGTGATAGTCAACCTGCCGCGCTTCAAGATCAGCACTAACGTGGTGCTGAACAGGCCGCTGTATAACATGGGCGTGATTGACATATTCGACCCGCAGGCTGCCAGCTTCAAGCAGATCTCGAATACGGAGAGTCTTCACGTGTCCGCCATAGTCCACAAGGCGGACATCGAAGTAACTGAGACGGGAACGATAGCTTCCGCCGCGACGTCCGCCTACTTCGCAGACCGAGCGTTGCCCGCCAATTTCAACGCCAACCGGCCCTTCCTCTACTTCGTCGTCGAAAAGTCCACGGCGACAATCATCTTCAGCGGCGTCTATTCGAAACCGACTGTGTTTTGAAACCATTTTAAATAATCTCTCATGACCAGTAGCCAACCATGTTGGGTAGAGGATTCCGTGCAGAAATAATCAAGCGAGACGCGTTGGAATTTATGTTAATTTAATTTTGTCGTCCAACCGGCGAATGTTGCTCCTAATTTCTAGTAATTAAATAATGTTGTATTAGACTAATTTATTACTACTGTTGTAACGATTTGTTTAATTTTATAAAATTTGTTACCTATTTGTATTTATGTTTTACCTTATTTCTATACTAGCGACCCGACCCGGCTTCGCACGGGTGCAATGTATTATACACATAAACCTTCCTCTTGAATCACTCTATCTTGTAAAAAAACACATCAAGACCCATTGCGTAGTTTTAAAGATGTAAGCATACATAGGGACACTGTCTGTCCCAGCGGGACGACTTTGTTTTATATTATGTAGTGATGATGATATTCAATATCACACTAACGACTTTTACGGCCTCGCTCAGGGCTATAATTAGCACGGAATTAGTTTGCAGTTTTAGTGGGGTCTGTCTTAAATATTCATTAACCTCCCATATACTTTCTTTCTCTACATGGCCTAAAGTCAGAAGCGGAAGACATAGAAAGCCGATACTGTCTTCTCGCTTTAAATGTGAAAGGTGGAAGCTTACTGAGCGATAAACGGAAAGTCTGCTAAACCATTCCACTTAGATCCGAACCCATGACCACATATCACTAAATATCGTGCAATATCGCAGCTGCTTATTAGTACCATTACTTACTAATTGTGAAACCAACGCGTCATGTAGAAATGTATAAAACATTTCGAAGAAAAAACTTCTTTCCCTTTATTTGTTTTTTTGGGTTTCCCCAATTCAAACACGTACGCAATCTTGAAAAAGAAGTCCGACTTTCATAAAAGCACGATAGATGGCGCTTTACAATGTTTTATGGGGAAAACCTTTTTATTAATCGTGTGTAAGAGAGATAGATGAGCCGTGATAGCTCAGTGTCCGGGGCCTTTAATTCAATATACTCGAACAACCTGAGTTCGATCCCGGTGCCGGCACCAATGAAGTTTTTAACTTTAAGTGCTGACTTATCACGTGCTCCGCGGTGAAGGAAAATATCGTGAGGAAACCTGCAAATTTTCGAAATAATAACAAAAAAAAATATTTCGAAGATATGTGAAGTCCGCCAATCCGCAGTGGGGCCGCGTGGTGGACTATGCCCTGATACCCTCTGTATAGAGGAGGCCTTTGCCCAGCAGTGGGATATGTAGAGGCTGTTAGGTTACGTTAAGAGAGATAGATGCCCGTTGTCCCCTTGCGAGGATGCGAGGTTATGTCCTTCAAAATATTACTTTTCTGTGTAAATATTACTTCACTGAAATTTTTACGTTGCTATTAAGAGCAGTAATTTTAAAATAAATAAAATTTGTGTATATTAACTGTGGTAGTGCCACGCAACAGTCTTCAGGTCTGTCCGGCTAAGTACCGCAACCTCACAGAAGACCGGCGTGAAATCGAAGTGTCATACTTCTGATTTTCGTCTGATGAGTGAGGTAGCCGGGGCCCACTTTATTATAAGCCTGCAACGAAACTGCAACAATGTCAATGGGCGACCACTATCACTAAAGATGAGGTGAACCGCCAGCTCGCTTGCCACCATCTTCCATAAAAAAACTACTAAAAATAGGAACCGTCGTTGATAAAACCGAAAAGTTTAATATTACTGACCATGAAAGCGAAATAAACGGATCCCATTATTAGTGGGAAGAGTAGGATTACCCACAAAAATCATAAGTACATCACTCGTAAACATAAGTAACATAAACATAAGTATGTATAAGTACATACTTCTTACATGGTCTCTTTCCGTGGCATTTTTTTTTTATTATTGCCCTTTCTGTACGATCACATTATCCTATGTTGTAATAGCCTGAACTTTAAGTTTACACACAAATTTCACATGGACAAACACCCAGATCCTAAATAATTGTCTATGGGTCACACAAATAGTTGTCCCGTGTGGGAATCGAACCCACGACCCCGACGCCGAAGCCAATACCTTAGCACGAAGTCATGAATTATGTTTTATTATATACAAGCTTTTCTCCCGCGGCTTCGCTCGTGTTGAAGCCCTTAAATAAATGTCTTTTTTTTTTTTAATTTTTTTAATAAAATCCTATGTCTTTTTTAATACCTCTAAGAATACGTGTACAAAGTTTCATAATAATCGATTGAGTAGTTTTGGCGTGAAAATGTAAGAAACAAACTTACATTCACATTCATGATATTAGAAGTAGGGATAAATAACCCCATTATATACATACGTGTACAATTTTTTTTCTTTCTTTTCCTTTGGTTTTTTATTCCATGTTATTTCACACACCATGATTTATAATATAAATGACTATCTGTTATGTAATACTGACATTTAATAATTTGACATAGGTATGTAATATCCGTATAATAATTTTAATGTTTTAATGGAATAATTTATTATGTTTAAATGTCTTAATGTGAATAATTGGTTATATTTTAAACATTTTAATATAAAGAATTTTATATGAAATTGACAATTGCATGCCGAAGTCAGCTGAATATGTTGCACTAAATTCTTATAATTAAGATCACAATGTACTACCATATTCTGGCAATAAAGACATTCATTCATTCATTCACACCAGACTAAACGCGAAAGTATGATACTTGCACTTCACGCTGGGCCTCTGTAAGGCCTTACTACCCGGGTGAGCCTGCCCATTTGTGTAACAGTAGATTCTGCGAGCCACAGTTGATTTTGTTATTTAATTTTAATGTTGTGTCATGGATTATTGTTATCCTGCTTCCTAATTGGAGCTGAAAATCTCGGCTCGGCATGTTTTCCGTGGATGATAATCCCGATACCGACAAATACAAAAACCTGTACAGGTACAAATTTTGTTCGTTTGAGGTAAATTTTCGTTTTCCATTTATAATATTTTACATGATTTGTGAAAACTGTGGTTCCACCCCTAATAACTTGACCTTGTCAATCTTCAGTAGGCATTTTCCTAATTTGTATGGATGTAAGAATAGCGCCATCTATTGGTAACAGGTTGAACAATGGTGATTTTTGTCAGCATAAATGTTTATAATTTCTTTAATTAAAATATAGTAAGGCCATAAAAATTTAAAGAAATTGTTAAATTTTTTTACGTTAAGGTACTGACATTTCGAACATTACAATATCCAATATATGGTCATAAGATCGACTATAAGGGGTTTTACGTCCCATTATAATAAGTGACGCGGGCTACACTCAGTTTTTTATTATGAATTTATTTTACGGCAATATACGCAGAATTACTTTAGTTTATCTTGTTTTACAATTACATCATAGTCTACAGTTACAGTTACATTATATTATTAATTATACCATGTACATCATCTGTAAATATAAAAATCATACATTGCGACGTTTTAATTTTAAATGTCGGTTTTAATATTTCAATCATTAAAATTGCAAAATGTCTTCTACGTTAAAGCAATTCTTTTCTATTTTAAGCTGGGACTACTCTTGACAAAGTACACTTTTAAATGTGTAATATTATTTAAAAAAAATTTTGACTTAAACATTTAGTTTCTCCACTCGGTTGTTCACTATGACCATTTTGAAAAAGCTAACAAATCAGAGAGTTAACGTAACTTATAATAAATAATAGACTGTATTGTTAATTTATCATTAACAAATGTATAATAATATTTACCATAATTTATTCAAACGCCTGTTCAAATAGCTTTCGCAATTATGTGTACAGTGGTTATAAGAAAATTATAACAGTCATAACATAATATTGTTCATCTAATCTGTTCTTTCATCATCGTCATGGAAGACGTCCACTGTTGAACAAAGGCCTACCCCTTAGAACGCCACAAAGAATTTTATTGCTATTTACAGCCACCGGTCAACCGTTATTAGCAGCTACTGACAATTATAGGGCATAAGTAAGTACACAATCGCCCGGTTTCTGAAACACTGATCATCGTAGATATTAACTAATCAGCTGTCAAATGGCTTCTCAAATGTCATTTGAGTTGCCAAAAGGATGGTTAAACTCTTTGAATTGATAATTCAAATCATTCTGATCAACTTTTACTTATTTACCTAAATATCGAGCATACCTACGTTAATCTCGTACAAAACCTAATAAAAACAAAAGTAACTGGCCATTTACCAAAACAATTTTAAAAATGTTATTACAACATTTGAAAATGGAACTCTTTGGCTGTAGAATGCAGTTTGTGTCATCTGACTGTCAATTGTTTTTACATTGGACGCCATTATAAAAATTGCGGGTCTACATTAACATGGATTTAACTCGAGAAAATTTTCGTACTATGATTTTCTGCGATTTTAAGTCTAATTTGACAGTTCAGCAGAGCCTCGCTCAGCTTCAGTCCGATTTTGGTGATGAAGCACTATGCCAGACGACTATTTATAGTTATTTATAGTTAGTTTATATATCGGTTTGCGGATTTCAAGCGCAGTCGTGTCAATGACGAATCAGTGACGAATCTCGCAATGGTCGCCTGTCCACCGTTGTGAACAACAAAAACATCGGTGCTGTGCGCCGTATAATCGAAATAGACAGGCATTTGACCTAACATGAGATTAATAATAATAATAATAAAATATTTATTTCTCACCACAACTAATAAATTCGGGCGTCCTTAGTCATAGACAAGAGTCAAATGCAATCAATCCTACACAACCATTTGGGTGTGAGAAAGCTATGCTCGTGGTAGATCCCACACATTTTGACAGAGGCTCAAAATCGGACCGCGACACTTGGTGCAATGCCATGCTTAACAGATTCAACGAGGGGCATCATATTTGGTGTGGGACATAGTAACAGATGACGAAAGATGGATTTATTGCTACGATCCGAAAACAAAGCAACGATCGAGAGTATGGGTCTTTCAACATGAGCCGAAACCAACCAAAGCGGCGCGCGTGAAAAGTGCATCTAAGCGGATG